CCACAGGCTCTGGCGTGATGCGTCTACGTAGGCATCATGTATCTCCACCAAGTCGAAAAATTAGCCATCCACTGCGAAGAAGAAAGGATATTCGTACACCGTCCGCTGCTCCCATGGACGCGAGTTCATTAGCAGCAGGAGCTGAGGTTCCGTTAAGAGACCATAACTCTCATCCCGGTAATCTCTGGACGCTTTGTCCATAGAGGAAACCGGGCCCATTCACGAGGTCGGAAGGGTCACGCAAGACCATAGGTCCTTCACACTTAATTGCGTGATCTCAAGGGGCCCTTCCATAGATGCTGGCCACGGGGCAACGTCTTCGGGTCAAATTGCACACGGCTGTGCATATCCAGGGATGGATAGGCCCCAAGCGTTGGAACCAGCAGGACCCTTGGATGCTGACGCCTCCTGATCATTGAAGTCGAGGCTTTCGGTGTCCGATGCGGAGTGGCCGAAGAGCTGGATGAATAGGTCGGAAGGGGGCATGCGTGTTTTCTCCTTGCTGGAAGAAGCGGTAGGTGATGCTTGAACTCTGAAGCTCGAGCTGGACTTGGGTTTCCCAGTAGACCCCTCCAATTTTCGAGGAGGACCAGACTTGAGCTTCTCAGGAGACCCCACTAAATTTCGAGGAAGAATAGACCTGGGTTTCCCAATAGACCCCACTGATTTACGAGGAAGGCCAAACTTGGGTTTTCCAGTGGACTTCGTCGATGTATAAAAAAACTGTTCTCGGGTTTCCCAGTGGACCTTGTCGATGTTGGAAAAAAAGTGTTCTTGGTTTTCCGGGGAGCTCCGTCGATGTGGATGAAGTACTGGATTTGGGATTCCTAGTTGACACTAGTCGACAAGGAAAGAGAGCTGGACTTAAGTTTCCCATGGGATAGTCTATCACTTCTGGATTAAGGCCCCCCACAGAAGATACCGGACTATAGTGGCGACGGGAACCACGCGACTGTGCTATCGCGGATAGCAGTGACTCATCGCTGCTGCTGTACTCGTCCTCGGTGGGGCTTGTAACATGGGAAGTTTGGCGTTTCTTCGATGCGGAAGGTGCCGGAACGCTGGCGTCGGGGGACCGAGGTCTCTTAGCCCTCGAGGGACCTGAAGGTTTGGCCTTGGGCGGGGCAGGTTTGGCTGCGGCGCTCCGAGCCACTGCCAGCTGCTTCTGAGGCTGGTCTCGCTGTTGCACGAGGGCCTTTAAACGGGCCAGCTCACCTGGAGTCGCGACACTTAATATGTCTTGGCCCGAACGTCGGCCGCGACAGTGTCTAACTTGGTCTCCAGCTCCTCAATATGGACTGTAAAATTTGTCACAGCAGCTTCATACTGGCTCCTCCAGTACCGTATGGTAGACCGATATTCCTCAATCTCAAGACAGTAGTCTTTCCGGTTTGCGAGTGCATCTCGGTACTCCGCGATGGTCAGCTGATCAGTTTCGTGGTTGTGGACAAGTCTTCAAATCCGAGCCTCGATCCGGGGAAGATCGACTTCCCCGAATCGGACACCTCATCCACGCGGCACTGCAGTTCTTGATCCCGGCAACGCCTAGCCAGATAAGCCTGTTGGAGGACTCGATGATCTTCAGCAAGGGTCTCCAAGGCTTAAGCCGCTCCATCGCCAATTGTATAACATCCCACGTCCGAGCGACACTTGCATAATCATAAGGTCCCGAAGAGGTCTACAGTCGAAACAACCAAGCTAGGGTCGGGTCCAAGCAGCACGAGGGTAGACCAACGGCCAGGTGCTTGGGGATTGTCGGAGAAAGTATAGGAAGAGGGCACTGGAGGATAAAAGGTGGGTGAGTTGGTGAATATGGATGACCATCAGACACACGGACACCTACTGATACGCCGAGGAAGTAGGACAAGAATTCACGGGGTCTTGTCGCATTTAGGAAGACCAGCGCGCAGGGGACAGCTGTGGTGAAGTGCCAGGGAAATGGATTCCTTTCGCAAATTATTTTGATAACTGGCGGGAAGGGTCTCGGTCACTCTCTATAATGAATGAAATGGAGTGACCAAGATATCGAAGTGGCCCAGGGTCCTGAATCATATAAGGTACAAGGTCGTCCTATATTACAAAGCCGGAAAAATACCAGTAGACCAAAGGTCCAGTGCCGCAAGAGTAGTCCAGGCACCCCAGTTGACCGGATGACCAAAGGTGGACCCAGAATCCCAGGTGACCAGGTACCCTTACGATATCCCAGTGATCAGGTGACCCAAAGTTATAGAAGGTACAAGGCTCCCATAAAGTGCAGAGCCGGTACAAGTCCCGTGCCCTAAAAGATCCAGTTATTCTTCATAAGTTGACATCTAGAGCGAAGGGTTAGGTTAGGCAAGAAAATCATACAGAGAATAAGATAAATAAACACGCTCAAATTTGCATTACACGTGGCAGCTCGCAGCTCTAAGCGCTCCTTCCAAACTTCTCCGTCGCCTAACCTCTTCCGGGCGGGATAAACTTTGGCCCCCCGACGTCCAGCAGGTGTTAGACGGCTCAAGCTACGCAAGTTGAACCTCAGGATAGTTGGCCTGAGGTGTCAAGTAAGTGTCAAGACTCTACGACCCGCTACAGGAAGCGGTTTCTCTACGGGGAAGAACACAAAGGGGTCCAAGGACCAAGAACAGTCAGCCACCAAAGGGGTACGCAGTACCAGGTGCATCGCTCTCGACTGAGTCGATTGAGTCCAAGAAGCCCGGTCCCAAGTGAAGCGTATCCACTCGAGGACCGCCAAGTCCCTCCATACAAGACCAAGTATTTAAGTCTTCTGCGTCTAACGAGGAGCAAGACCAGCCAAGCCGACGGGTACACAAGGTGAGACCCAAGGTTGACGCGACACGGTATCGGGGTACCCCCTCCGTAAGTCGGCAGTCCGGCGCTGTGTGTGTTTGTGGCTCTCCTACGTTGTTTGTGAATCCACTCCAGCAGAGTGGGGTCATTGCTGTGGCTAACAAGGTGCACTCGTCCATACATTGCATATGCGGTGCATTGCGTCACCCTCGGCGAGCCCACGCACCCACAAAAAGTGACTGGCAATTAGCCAAGCGGATGGCAAGATATTGGAAGGTCACTAAGAATGTTAAATCTCGACTTGTCCCAAGAGAATGACAGCGATCGTCGCTTATAAGACTCACGAGTACCAGTGACGCGGATTATTGCGGGCGGCAAAATTTACCGTAAACGGTCACTGGCGTGACATTTCGCATGGAAGGCATGGTAGTTGCATGGACGTGCCGAAAGCAGGCTTTTGTCGCGCTATCAACTATGGAGGCTGAATTTGCTTCAGCGTCGCAATCATCACAAGAGTTGCTGAGGTGCGAGAAATGCTCGCCGAGCTAGAATTTGCAGTTGTACTACCAATGACAATGTAAATGGACAATCAAGCAGAAATATGTCAAATGGAGGATGAAGAAAGCTCAGCACGCGCTAAGCATATCGACATTAAGCGCAATTTTGTCAAGGCATATGCAAATAAGGGCGTCGTGTATCCAAGCTTCGTACTCACCACGAGATGGCGGTTGATCTGCTGACGAAGGCATTTAGCACCGTTCGGCTGCACAGATTAATTGTAATGGGGCACCCTCCGACTATACTAATAACAGTATAGTCTACCTTCACTGATGAGGTGCATCAAAACCTCTCTTACACAAGAGGCAGAGGAAGCTTTACTTCTAAACGACACGCTTAGAAGTAGAGGAAAAGAGAACTGTATTTAATATAGTTAACTATCTAATAAAACTAATCTGTTATAACCTATGTTAACTATCTAAAAACTATGTATGTTGACAACTTGCCCTCCACTCATTGCGCGCGTCCATCGGTCATTGGTCAGCGCGTTGGTTGATATGATGACCCATATCAACCAATTAGAGGGCATCTTCAACTTCAAGGAGATCTAGGGACAATATTATAAGAAAATATAATATTGTCAAATATTATTATTTATAAAAATAGGTTTATTGACACTTCATATTAGTGTCAATATTATGTAACGGGCTCACCCCGTTACATTAATGTCGTTATGCTCGCTAAAGCATATGTAAAAGAAGGATAGGAACAAGTATCCTGGTGACGAACGCACAGCACCGTGAGGAAGGAGTGTCGGAAGGTGTAGTCATTTCGACCATTCTCGCGACTCCACGAGCCAGCGATTATGGGACGGTACATTACTTACACCTACTATGTGGGTTCCAGGCGCGGTGGTTACGTGTCAGTTAAAGAACCACTCCAGAAAACAACCGGGCGAAGCACAAAGGGCACAGTACAGTAGGCTACAGGAATAAGAAGGAGCTACTTGTGCATGCATAATATACTCACTTTGACTTTTATCATCTACTTCTCAAGCAACATCCACTTTAGTATTGAACATATGTGACTACATGGAAAAGGGGTAAATCTAAGGAAGAGGGGTATATATATATATTATCAAAATGTAAAGGGTGTGAATGCAACTGCATCTCCCTTAATTATTTTATATATATTTCATAAAATGAAAAGGGTGTAAAGTTAAGGAAAAAAGGTTGTGAATTTATCAACTCCTAGATAATATTATCGAATATTATTATTAGAAAAATTTATTGGCACTTCACATTGGTGTCAATATTATGTAACGAACTCACCCCGTTACAAAAACAAAACAAAACATAGAAGCGTGTGTACAAGAAAACAAGTGTCTTTATTGGCTGGAGTGCGTAGTCACAATGAGTTGTGTGGCCGCCTTATTGGCACTGAAGTAACACTCATAATTTATTACGACTTTTATTACTGCGTATATACTTCAGCAAGTAATTCAATAATATTCATTATAGGACGTAATAATAATAATAGTGTTGATCCATTCAAGTGGACCATATTTTAAAAGAATATCTAATATTCGGAACAAAATTGTAGTAAGAAGATGATGACGCGCTTATGTGTAATGTACTAATGTAGCAGGTTATTATGCAGTTCCAAGCAATCACATCCAGTGATCATAATTATTCATAAACAATAATGATAAATTAACGCATTACCTGACGCAGCACGGCACTTTTCAAGCGCGTCAGCGAGTCTTCTGGGTTGTTGTGAACCGACTCCAACCTGTGAATAAGTGATTGGTTTTCCTTCCATTTGGTAATGGTGTTTTTGAGCTCTTGTAACATTTCATCTGGCAACGGAAACAAATTTGGCGCGAAGCGTAGTTCGGCGGGACTATCTTTCTGTTGGTATATAGGGAAGAAGTTGCAGTGAGTTTAGAAAAAAAGGATGCACATCTCGATATGACACGTATCTTACCATTTTAGTAACGAGATGGTAAAATCCCACCAGATTAAAGGATGCATCTAGTGCTGGAAAACCGCAATTCAGGAAATCGGAGCCCATGACAATTTGAACACAGTTTTCAGAGCTCACGTCCAAAGTCGACGGATATCCTGACAGCAATGCCGACAAGGAGCTTGATAGCGATGTGAATTGAGGACCAATACCATGGATTTCTCCGGAATTCGAACGTATAAGTTCGCTTAAATTCATACTGCCGAGTGAATCAACGATATTTCCGTCTCCGTGCAAAGATCGTTTACCTTCTCGAAAATGTTCTGCAGCATCAAGAAACATGTCCATTTTAGCTGACAGTAATGCTGAAAATCGTTGGGACCCAAATTTTGGCTGAACTCCGGCTAAATGAATCGCGCTACTATTTGTTGAGCTAGAGAGAGCGGAAAACCCAGGTGAAAGTATTCCCACAGGTGCCAACAATCCAGCCCACTGTTGCGCAGCGTTGGAAGCCGTGCCCGCTTGCAGAGATTTCGCTTTTTCGTAGGTGGTGCTGTTTAGGAAAGCAATCATTAGAATTACAATGCTCCAGACAAAAAGTCCCAGCAGATTTTGATGCAAACTTGCCTGTAAAGTAGCTTTGAAAGCGAGGCGTAATCCTTCCATAAACCGATACTTAGATTTTCTGCCACAGCAGTGGAAGTACAGCCTTCTGTTGGCTCTTGTTCGCTTACAGGGCCAGATAGCTGGTGAAAGCTTTGAGCGAGATTATACGAAAACTTTAGAGTGATATCATCACCACTGTACATGACTTTAGGACGGTCTGGCCGTTCGAAATACTTGTCCGAAGACCACTGAAGCGGATGATGTGCTGTGCTATGTACTGCTTTCCGAATTGCCGACGCATCCGTATGCCCTATATTAATTCCACATGCGTTAGTTGTACGTGCACATCAACATCAAGAAATCCGACCCCCTTGCGTGTGTCGGCTACATGTACTCACCCCCTTGCTCTAGCAGCAACTTCAAATCACAGTCGTCTTGGTGTGTTGGCACCTGTCCGTATGTCTCTTGACACGATGGACATTTGTACGCTTTAGACAACGCTTGGGCCAGTATCTCTTCCAGGTTTGTTCCCGGTTTGTCGGTTGTACTCGCAGGTGTGCGTTGCCACTGCAACTTGTACAGCAAGTCAAATGCTGCGTTCGCCCAGAGACAGATATTCGGCGTTTCTGGCGTAAATGGAGCAGTAGTATCTGATGCATTAAGTGGAATTGTCTCCTCTATATCAGCAATCACTGCAGTCACATTTCCAGTAATCGTAGCTGTAGAAGCAGATGAGTGCAAACTCCCCGGCAGGTCATTTGACAATCGTGATCCTTGCAACAACGAGCGTTTAATCTTCTTCACGTTGCAAGAGGCTTCCATCTTCTCATTATCCATCACAGTCCGCTTCTTCTTCTTCTTCTTGGACAACACCAGCACCGGCTTCGACACAACCGATGAAATATACTCACATAGCCCCGGACACGTTGGAACTGCAATTTCCACACAAAATCTCTGCACACCATACAAAATTACAATCAAAACTCAACCATTCGACCCTTTTGCCCTTTTGTCCTTTTCTTCGTAAGCAGTATGTCTCACCTGATTGAGGTGATTTTTTGACACTTGATTAATACGCATAGCCATTGTGCTCTGCCTGTTATTATCCAGACATTGGCCAGCCATAACATGCAGAATCTCCTGTTTTTCCACCACTTTACTGCATTCATCCATCCATTAGTTCCCACAGACCTCAAAAGTCTCACATACTTAACGCACCCACTCTCGTACAGCAACTTCACCGTCAATATCCTCTGCTCCACACACTGAGCACAAAATGCCTCTGTCCTCTGTACTCGCAACTCAAACGTCGCCTTGCGGCCAAACTGGTCCTTGTACCAGGTCTCTGGCGGCTGCTGCAATATCTCCAGCGCTACATTCGCTTGTTTGTCGTCTTCCTGCATCTGATTTGAGAGTCCTGTAGTCTTCTGGGGTCGTGTAAATGGAGCGGGTGCTATCGCTACCATTAGAGAAAGATTCTGCGTCACAGGAGGGATCGTAGCTCAAGACCTTGAGTTCAAACAGCGACGTTTCTAATAATGAAGAGATATTTAGAAATGGATAAATATCAAAAGTAAAAATGGGTTAGTTTTGAAAATATTATGTATTCGTTTCTACAGGAAACTTGATTCGTACGAATGGGTTGCTGTTGCGAATGGCGGGCCCCCAAGCCGCTGCGCTACGTGCTACCGTGCGTAATCATATGGGTGATCGTGTACTTGTACTCTTCCTTCGTGATCTTCGCACATGCACGTGTGCTTACGGGTGGCGCGTCTCCTTGGGAGCTATATCTCTTTCACTGCTTGACGTTCCTCCTGTGCTGGTCACTGGTGCAGACGCTGCAGTCTGGAGACTCATTTCTAGCTCGACGGACGCTGAGCAAACCTCAACTACAAGAACTGGCAGCCACACAATCGACAGATTGCGATGACTCACGAGTCGAAAGCAAAATGAATGGCGGCGTTCGCACTTGTCGCAAGTGTCGCGCACAGAAACCGGATCGAACCCATCACTGCAGCACATGTCGACAATGTGTGCTCAAGATGGACCATCATTGCGTCTACATAAACAAGTACGTGGGACTGTAGATTGAACTTTGGGAGATGGGCAAGTTGAAGTTGACAGCAATGTTGCCTTTTGGTTGAAAAGGTGCATTGGGTACTTCAACTACAAGTTTTTTGTACAATTTTTGGGCTGGAGTGCAATTACATGTTTGTATCAAAGCAGTCTTCTATTCCGCTATGTGTTGACTGAGACTTTTGTCCACTTTGGCAAGTTGGAGCTCTTGAACCCTCGCGTACAGGTAGGAGGCAATGTGAACTATTGAGTAGACTGTTTCCTTACTGACTTTGAGTATAATGTTGCAAGATTGTAAGCGTATTCTTTGGCAGCACGTGTTTGGGACTGGCATTGGCTTGCTTCTATATGATGCATTTGTACTTGGTAGCCAACAATTACAGCACCCTCGAGTACTGCGAGAAACGTGATGACCCAGACTATGTCAACTACTACAACGTAGGCGTGCTACAGAACTTTCAGGAGGTATTCGGTACCTTCCATGAGTTCCCATACTGGTTTGTACCAATCCACAGTCCTAGCTTTCAAAAGCGGGATGGGAAGACTTTTCCACTGAACAAGTTTACTAAAGCCGACTAGAGGAAGATAATACTCAAGTAATTGATAGCGGTGTCAATCTTGGGTCAAAGACACTGACATGCATACGAGATTGCATCCAGTTATTATGGTCGCAAACTTACTCAATAGTAGCTTGAGAACTAAAAGTGTGGACTTGATTTGGGCCTTTTCACAGACAATATCGGACAAGTCGTTGCGGCTCCAAAGAAAGGAAATATGAGGCTTTGCACTCATCGAAAACATGGTTGTCGATGTGGGCAATTTCATATCCAAAACTACCATTTTGGACGTGTTGCTCTCGAAGTCGCGATGGAACGCTTCCACAGGAATTTCAGAGTATATATAGTGAGTGCCGGCACTGCATAATGCTGGATCGCTCTCCAGCCGACATCCGGGGCGTCAGAAGGCGATCGATACTTCGCGCATCCGGAAGAAGACCCATTTCTTGCCGACTATATTGGCCTAACTCTTGATGCACTGCATACAGGTTGCCTCTGAGAGAGACTCAATTGCTGTCTAGCCCCAAGAAATACTAGCTGCGGCTGCACCGTCACTCGACGGAGTACCATATATCGTTGAGCAGCACGAAGTTTGTACACACACAAAAGGTCATCGAATGTTGTACAAAACTAGCTTCGATGGCCCGCGTCGACAACGCATTTGATGTACTCCGGTCCCATCACAGGCCAAGCAGAGCCACTAAAGCTCACAGGAAAGAAACACGGGCCAAAGAAAAACCAACGAAAAAACTCGCACAAGTATGGATCGCGGGTGTTGCCGTGCCGGCGTCCACGGGAAGTCCAATTTTTTTCAAATAGCGCTATTCAAACCTAAATTGTCTTCGACACCCCTGAAATGCAGACGTTGCTGGTCAAAAGACCCATCAAAAGTCACAACCATTGGAGTGGGCGGACAGCAAATGCTTGGTGCTTTTTATCAAGTCGATCAGAACTTAGATGCTTGACAATAATGTCGAGATGGAAGTACATCGCAGCTTACTTTAATGGTCGCTGTGCAATTCTAGTTGCACAAATCGCAATGTTCTTTTACCTCTATCAACATGCCTGGCATAGCTTCATAGTTGTTAGAGCGGAGGTGAATGTCGATGGCGAGACAACGCACACAGCCTGGTAGTCGTGTCATCTCCTTATCTATTCGTAGTGTCTCAAGAACCCTGCGTGAATCCTCTTCGTCTTCTACTAGCAAAAGTTGACGTCCAAGAACCCTACGCTTGATCGACGTCTCTTGTAAAGCGTGTGCCTTTCCTCACTTATTTCACATACTTTTTTGCAGAGGACGATCAGTTCGGCACTAGGTTTTGTGCAGTATAGGTCTGTGTCGTCTAAATTGCCAGAGAAAAGCGGCAAGACCGCAACTCGTCCAATGGAACATGCCTCGCTCCAATTTCATTTTGGAACACTCACTCAACGCGCCTTTGGTCTTGCTTTTTTGAACTTCGAATGAGTTCAGGTATGGATCCGGAAGTACGTGCGGCCATTTCCCAGCGTCCAATTTCGTGCTTTTGCTTGTGGAACTTCTACGTAATAGAAGGGTCTTTACATTGTGCGAGCTCTTGTCTGCAAGTCAATTCTTTATTGGAAGCCGGCGGAATTCGCTCAAGCTGATAGAAGAGCGACAATTTGGGGGACTTGATAGTTGTGGCTATGGCAAGTCAAGAAACCCATGATCGGGAGTCAATGTCAGTCAGTTTTATTGGCAAAAGAGATCAGAATCCCAATTATTCGGTTAGTCTTCAGCTTAAAAAGTACTAAATCAGCTTTGACAAGACATCTTCCAGTATGACTGATAATTCCTCATGTCCCGCAATTGTACCGACTGTCGTAAGAGCTGTCGATGGCTTTTTCACTTTCAAGACACCAGTTAAAAACGATGTGACTCCGCCTCTAACGCTCTTTAAACAATTCAAAATGGTGCCGTCCTGTTGGAGTGAGTTTCAGCACAAAGTAGCGCAATTGGAGCAGGAAAAGCGACCCGATGGAACCCTTCGACAGATCAAGGTCGTGTACTTTTTGCGCCATGCCGAGGGCACTCATAATGAGGCTCATGGCAAGTATGGTTCTCCTCGCTGGGAAGACGAATTCGCGCGCACCGACGCGTTCTTGGACGCTCCACTGACTGCATTTGGCATCAAGGACGCACAAAACAAGGGACCGATTAGTGTCCAAGCGGAGCTGGAGCAGGGTATGCTGCCCATAGAGAGAGTCGTGGTGTCTCCGATCTCACGGGCTATTCAGACGGCACAGAAATTTTTCGCCAAGGAGCAGGTACCGGACGAATTATTCACTTGCATCGAGAGCTGTCGCGAGACGTTCGATTGTCACACGTGCAACAAACGACGACCGCTGTCGGAGCTCAAGCAGCAGTTTCCAGATGTGGATTTTTCAAGCATGAAAGATGAAGAGGATCAGCTGTGGTCGAAGACACATCGCGAGACGACGGAGGAGATTCAGAAGCGCGCCCGCGAATTTTTGCTGGAGTTCTTCCGCACGATACCGGAGCGCTACGTGGTCGTAGTAGCTCATCTTAGCATCATTGAGGCGATTTGTGCCGTCACATTGGGCATCGAGGTACGTCCTAGCAACTGCGAGGTTGTCCCGATCGTGATTGAGGCACTCTGATGACTATGCACCGATGGGGAGGAAAAGTGGAGCTTATCATCAATACATTGAGCACCATTACGTTAACACATTATTGATTCAAGCCGCGCTCATTATTTAATTATACATGTATGTACGTAGAGCAATGTTCTAGTCTGATACAAAATGACTGCTGAAGCGCACTGAACTTGCTTGCAGCTGAGTGCTCTGAGCTTGATTGTATAAATAACAGCATCGAGCGAGGAATGCAACGGACAGCGAAGCCTTACTAAGCTAACGCGCTGACACGAGTAATAGATGTCCGTCTCATTTATGACGTAGTTCGAGCAATTCATGTACACTTGTTTATCTGTATACACATTTTTCGATGTGCATGTTCAAACAGCCTCCAGCACAAGAGGGAAAGCCTCGCAGTTCGCAGGTTACATACGAACGTCCATAACGCCGGCATAAACCGCTTCCATGAAGCCCGAATGTGGCACAACGGCACCAAGTTGTTCGAGAATCTTCTGAAACAACTCAAATGGAAATACCTTTGCGCGAGTGTGCACTTCCTCGTCCGTCTTGCGGTGTGTCGATATTCGACCTCGTCTTTTATGGATGAGAAGTCTACGTCTGATAGTTTAGCTTAAACTCAAAGACCGATCGTCTCTTGTCAAATGAGCGACACTTAACGATTTCTCGACAGTTTTTATGCAGACAAGTGGCGTCTGATTGGCATGGAAAACTGTTCGTGTTCAGATGGTTCGCGTTCAGATATTTCTCTTCAAATGCGAGTTTAGATTCCTATTCTTCGGCGCCAACCTCATTTGCCGCTGCGTTATGAATGCCCTCTGCATGACGTACAAAGTACACGACCTTGAGTCGCCCTTGTGACACTCCCGTTGCCGTCGTGTTTAGCAAGTGCCGTTGAGCTTTGTCCCAGGACGGATAGACGAGCTCGTGTCGCTTGAATAGCAATACAGACTTGGCTTCAATGGCGGCAATATCAACAAGAATCTTTGGAAATCCAGGTTGGCATTAAGGTAGCAAGCAGTATATGCATTAATGACTGCGGAAGAACGATCCATTACTTTCGTCGTCTTTGTCATTTGTTTGTTTATTGATGCCATGTCGCATTTGCTTTGTGAAGATGCGACAATGGCATCCGTCTAGTAAATTCGACGGACATAATATTCAGATCAAAAGGATTCGATCTGAGAATCGGACGGGTTCTAGTCGCATTTTGCTTGTAGTGTAGGAAACTAAGAACGTTCTTAGTTTTCCTACACTTAGAAGTCTTAATCTAGTTGACTGTCATTTCTTTGATTTTATTTGTCTCTTGTTCAGTGACACCTATGGGTACAAATTTGTAGAAATGGCTGATGATGGAAGACCGTTGTAGCAAACCGCTGGAAGAGTTGCGGCACTGACAAGATTTTGACTAACGCAACTGTTAGACGACCACCAGCTACGCACACAGCTTCTAGCTTCTGTGACTCAGATTGCTCTCTAACATCCACCAACATTACGCGCATAAAACAATATCACGGAATACAAGAAGAAGAAAATAGGAATCAATCTCGTCACGTGCTTTCAGGTCAGGGTGGAAGATATGTACCAGCCATGCACGAAAAGGTGCCTCGCGAGGTAATATTTCAAACTTGTCCAGCTCCACCCTAAAGGTGCCGTCAATGTTAGTACCAATACAAAACACTACATGTTCGCTTAGAACATTTGCAGCTTCGAGGGTTTTTCTGACAAGCTTACAAATTCCAAGTTTAAATCTTACTTTTTTTTCTCAGGCTGAGAAAAATCAGAAACCTACTGGCTGAGAAGTCTCGTTTGTATCATTCTCGCATTTGCTCCGCTTCCATCAGTTCCGGTCACATAAAAATTCTTTCGTGAAGGTTCTTGATAGAATGAGCAGTTCCAACATTCGATCTCCCGAGATGAAACGTGTACGTCTTAGTCCTCCAATGATGCCACACGTTCTCCCCGCGCATATGTCTACGTCACTGCCTCCATTGCCACCGCTAAGGGACTTTACTGGAGTAAATCCTCCAGTCCCTATTACTGCTTTGAGCACCTCGTGCAAACTAGCCGAGCTGCGATACAAATATCTGGATGATATTGCTATGGTTATTCAGAAACTTAAAGCCGTGCTTACGTACGGTCCCGGATCTGCGTGTCCAGATTCGCCGGTGCCTCCTTCGGTCGTACTCAAGTTGGTACGCACTGTACAGACGCTCGAGAAGCTGCGTACACTGCTACTGATGAATCCTACAAGGTTGCGTCGAGTATCGTCTGCCCAGATGGAAACCGTCGAGCAACAGATTAAAATGAACCTGCTTCCGATCGCAACTTTGTTCCGCAGCTTTGACAATGAGAAGCAGACTGATAAACGTCAAGACACACCGTCCGCTATTGAAGATAGCGCGCTTAAAATGGAACAAGTCTGGAATCAGCATTGCGATGCCAAGTCTCCGTGCTCACCTATAGAAGTTTTAGCAACGCCAGTGCCTCGATATGACTGGCGATTTCTGTCCATGGCGCTTAGCCTGCAGTTGTAAATTATTTCGCTTTAGCATTGCTACATGTTGACAATGTTTGCATCCAGACAAATCTTCATTAAACGATCCTAATTTATTCTAGCGTTACCTGGTGTTCTGGAACATTCTCTAAGACAAGAGGCATGATAGCCAAATCAAAGATGGAGCGTTGACTAGACAACAACATCTCACATGACTTGCAACTTGAAAACGGTAGAAACACAATTGCCGAATGCACCTGGAAATACTTAGAAACAATGTGCTGGAAGCGGATGCACATGAAAAAGGTCTAGGGTGGTGTTGACGGCTCCTGCGCTTTCCCACTGTCGAACCACCTCTCGAGAGCGGAGGTCGGCTTGGCGGATCGGTTCGGGAATGCGGTATTGGGAGCAGGCTTGAGCTATTGCCAGGCTCGTATCTAGAGACAGCATGTTTCCCACCGACACGTAAACGGGATTCTTGACGCCAGCTGTGCCACACAGCGCAGCACCCCAAACCTCAAGATCACACAGCAGTAAGAACGCAATGCTTACAACCAAGACGTCTACATAAAAAGTAGCAACAATACCTTTCCAGACCTTCCTGTGAGCTTGACCACGTCGTGGTTCTCTTCTCTAGCTTTGGCCATCAGGTTTTTCACGTCGGTTTTCGTGAGTCCATCAACGTGGAGGAAGGTCTTACCGACACCGATTGTGGGGACATTCTCAAGCACACCAAAGTGAGAGGCTAGACCAAAGCCCTGTGGATGCAAGACTCCGTTGCCATCCACTAGCGTTACGTCAGGCACGAGATCTACAGGATAGCAAACAAACCAAAGTCAGTCGCACAAAAAATATTTGAAAGAACGACATTATGCTTTCACACCTGGGCAGCGGTGACAAAGATCACTATACAACTTTCTCAAAGCTGGTACCTCTCGAAAGGCCAAGAACCCGGTAATGTACGGCGCTGGCAGCGATACGTAGGTAAAGGCCTCATACAGCACAGTTTGTGACGGGTAGTCCAGTACCACGATCGAGGCGCACGCGTGCTCGTCCGAGCCCTTTAGAAAGCTAATGTCAACTCCAGCTACTTTTTTCAACACTCTGTAGGTGGCCTCATTCATCGGGGTTGCACCGTCAGCGTCAGAGTAAAGCTGCCACTGCGTTCTGTCCGTCTCAATCAACTGCTTCTTGAGGTCCAATTGTTCTTCTATTTTTCATAGTCACATAACATTCAATAGTTACACGATGCAGGATGTATCCATTCAATGAAAGGATGACGTACTTTTCCACTTTTCATTTATCGCTGCGGTGCTTTTGCTCGCCATATCCTGACTTGTGTCTTGGGAGCACTTTGTGCTTATAAGCTGACTGCTAGGTGTCTGATACAATAATTAAGATAAAACTAGAGCAGTAAAAGGAGTTCAAAGCGTCGACAACAAGCACCTCAAAAGCACAGTTTTCATTGTTTTTTCAACTTTCATTCCACAGCCGTTGCCGAATCTTCAGGCAGCAGCTTCTTCACGAGCTCTTTCTGCTCAACCGAGAGCTTCGTCGGAAAGCGTATCTCATGGTGCACATGTAAGTTGCCGAGCTGGGACGGGTAGTTGTGCACGGGCATTCCCTCGCCCTCCACAATGCGGACTTCAAAGGGTGTCGTTACGTGCGAGTTAGAGAGCACCACTGTGCGATCATCCAAATGCTTCATGGGCTTCTTGTACCCCAATAGCGCCTCTTCCAGCGAGATCATCAAATTATAGTGAAGATCATCACCTGCTCGACTACAGAGTACAATGTATCGTCAGCCACAACACAAGCAAATGAAATAGAATGCAACAAACACTTTGTACCGGAAACGTTTGTGTGGCACCTGCTGTAAACGAAAAATGACATTGCCCGGCATCATTCCTGGTCGCTGCTCACTCTCACGCTCAAAAACAATTTCATGTGCAGATGGCATGCCTCGCTCGATCGCAGCAGTAAGCACCTTGTTCTCTTTTACAACCTTGTGGCCTTGACAAACAGGACAGGCTTTTTTAAACGTCTTACCCCGTCCACTGCACTTGGGACACGGCTGCTGCATCTGCACAGTGAAACCAGGACCCATTTTCTGATTCACAAGGATGTGGCCCGTACCACCACATTTCTTACACGTCATGGTCTTGCCACCTTTTGCACCCGTGCCACGGCATTTGCGACAAATGACATTTCGTGCAAACTGCGCCTTCTTCTCAGCTCCATTGTAAAGTTCTTCTAGTGTCACCGATACGTCCACCCCTGCATCAGGACCACGTTGCTTACCACCTCCTCCAAAGAAGGCATCAAAAGGGCTAGAGGGACGTCCCGACGACTGTTCCTCACGCTCAAGACCTTCAAAGCCTTCCAGGTCAAACACCTGGCGCTTCTGAGGATCAGAGAGCACTTCGTAAGCACGCGAGATCTCGTGGAAACGACTCTCTGCATTCTCGTCGCCTTTGTTCTTGTCCGGGTGATACTTAAGGCTCAATTTACGGTAAGCCTTTTTTATCTCGGTATCAGTTGCTTCCATACTGAGTCCCAGTGCTGTTGTAGATTTTCATTAGCCACACCTCGTTAAAGTATACACTAAACGTAAATTACGTACTCTCGTAAAAATCGACGTGGTCATGCTCATGCACGTGGTCGTGATGCTCATCGTGACCCCCACCAAAGTCAAATCCAAACATTTGAGCATTGCTTACGAACGCTAGTAGATGAAGCAACAGCAATAGCAGGAGAGGAATATGTCGTCGAGTTTTAGTCATGATAATTTACTAGTAATTATCGGAATGAAAGTCCACGTGGATAATGTCCAAGAGACAAACCCCTTTGCACTTTTGTAAAGCATACAATATGTTTTATGTCAGGTGAGTACCCTTTGTGTTGTAAATGGGTACTATAATAGTATACACTTGTAAAGTTTACACATGAATGCATGGGTTCTAGGTAATTCATTTTCTATAGGACTATACACCACCGATTGAAAAATGTAAAATTCTCGTCTCGCTCTCCATGCATATTTACTCGATCCATCTTCGTAAGCAGTTTCGTACCTGTTGGTTTTCCTATAAGGTGCTTCGCGTCAGGAAGTTGTCGAATGAGCTGACGAATATCGTGATCCGACATGAACGGGTCCAGATACCAGTTGCGAGTCTTCACGCGAGCGTCATTGCTTGCACCACACGTATTACTCTTATCAACACTTACGCAATGGCTAAAATTAAGCACGAGAACCAACAGTGCAAACGCATTGTGTGTATACTCAGAATCACCACTTTCGACGAATACCGAGTCTGACACTGCAGTATTAACATTGCATCCAGCCAGTCAGCATTCAAATCACACTAGGTGCCAGGATCAGAGTCTTCGACAAGTAAACCAATCACACGTACATTTCCACGCCACAACGGTTGAGCTCTCCAGATTCCACTGCAACACGGCTCGAAGCCCTGCCAGGAATGGATGGCAGCCAACATTTGGCAAATGCTTCTCCATAAACACCTCGGTACGAATCATCATTTTAGTGAGGTTCTCAGTCAAACGCAAGTATTCATGCTGGACGCGAACTGATAGCTGCTCTTGACCATTGTCATCCGTCCAAAGCTCGTAGTTGGTTCCCTGACTTTCCTTTGCCCTATTATTGAATTCTGCATACTACAATAATGTATCAATAGCCATCCTCAGAATACAATTATTAACAAAAAATCACTCACCCTTTGATGGGAAATATGGTCATGATATTTCGCCCGCACATCATTCTTCACTACTTCCAACATTTCAATTCTTTCATTTCAAAACGACGTCTGTCAATATTTCACTCCGTGACTCTAATGCCTTCAATCTCACTCACGTTTGATGAAACTTATCTTCATGACCTGTTACTGTGCACTTCTGCAGCCCCAGCATCAGTACGAGCTCATTGACTTGTCCATCGACTCCAGTGTCTTCTTCAGTAGAAATGCTATCAGACCAATTATCAGCACATCACTAACAATCGTACTCAACAACACTAAACTGCTCAAATGCACCTAATTTCGTCCACTTTTTTCGCTTCAAAATAGTCCAAAAGGCGTTTAGCCGCCTCGTCCTGGTCGAAGTAGAATTTGGCACAGACTTCACGCCAGCGCTGCTGACGTACGATGCAGCTACTATCGAGACTTTCACACTGGCAGCCTACGACAAAGACACATACAATCAGTCATCAAGACCTTTGACTCATGCAGCTGAAGGCAAATTATTCGGCCCACCATTACCGCCCATTGTCTTTGAATGTGCTGGCTGAAAATGCGAATTGTTTTTTATTAATCAGATCATTTCTGAGTCTCCGTGGTATAAATGGTTAAAAAATTAAATTATAATGTTATTTTTTCGTCCCGTCTCACCACCATTTAAAATTTTATTAAACATGATAGCGGTCTGAAACATTTGCTCTGGGGCTTGTCGTACAATAATGCTCGCACAAATTGCTAGAAGGAGCAAATGCACTTCCACAGAAGTCTGTTAAAGTAAACATATAGTCATAGTTGGTATCAACTGTTGGCAAGTAAGCCTGTTGTAGTAGAAAGACGACAAGATTCTGTATATTGATTGCTTTGTCTTTTTGTCTACCTGTATCCTTGCTCCAACCATCTTGATATTTTTGGTTGATGGTCATTTTGTCAACTAACCACTGTAAGAGTGGAGTGAAGTAGTGATGCACTTGTGCACGTAGAGGTAGAAGTAAAAGTAAAATATATTAAGCATTAACTACTCTCCTTCGCTAGTGCTTTAACATGTACGATAGAGTCAACTGCGACTATACCATGTCTAGTCTGTAGTCTTCGTCTATCCCGCTTCGCCACATCTGTTAAGATGTCACAACATTAGCCAATTCGGGTGCGGTCGCAACTTACCGGGCACAGGGTATAGCCCTTGCCTTCAACACCTTGCAACCTGTCAAAAACAATCGTTTCTAATACTCTTTCTCGACTGCATCCTGGATGGTCTTCAACTTGACCATCGTTCGCAGGTCTTCCATTCTTGGTGCCGGTAACGCCTTGGTCAACATGTCCGCCATCATGTCCTCAGACTTGATAAATCTTGGTTGCACGACACCTTCACGCACATGGTGGAGTATGAACTCAAAACGGATGTCCACATGCTTTGGGCTTGAGGTACTCTTCTCGGGCTCGAGTTGCTTGATTTCCGCTTGGTTGTCAACCCACATCGGCATGGGCTCGCTTATCTTCAGCTTCAATTCGTCGAGTAGTTCCCGTAAGTCCAGCAATTCACGTCCCGCTTGTGACCCAGAGATGAACTCCGCTTCCATCGTGCTCAATGGCACCCCGGACTGCTTCTTGCACATCCACATCACGACGGCTCCGTCCATAGTGAGAACACACCCGGAGACTGACTTGCGTTCAGACTTGTCGGCAGAGAAATCGGCATCGCTCCAACATTCGACCCGAACATCATTGGATGTAGGTCCGACACAATTGAGGTGCAACTTCAAGACCTTCGACATCTTCAAGTATCTTGCAATACGTTTTGTGATCTTCCAGTCCTTTGTCGTAGGCTTGTGTGTCTACCTAGTTTCCTTGTGAACAGCAAAGCAGATATCAGGACGCGCGCACCTTGCTATCCACAGCAGGCTCCCAACCAGCGACTGGAACGACTTCACACTTGGTTCGCCCTTTGCACCCTTCGCAGGAAGGCATTCCACAGTGTCCTCGTCTTCTGCATTGCACTCGTCCCCGATTGGGGTCCTCACCCCATTAGCTGAATCCAGTCCGAACTCCTTCAACAGGAGGTCGATCATGACTTCTTGGTTCAGAACGTATCCTGTCACGTCGTTCAAATCGATTTGTAAACCAAGAAACTTGTTGACAACGCCTAGGTCCTTAATGGACAACGAGCTCATCTCCATGAAAAATTCATCCACGGCCCCTTGTTCAGTCCCTGTGACCAATAGGTCGTCCACGTAGACGCCAACCACTGTGCACGTCTCACCCTTTTACTTGTAGTACAGGCACTTATCCGTGGTTCATTGCTGGAAACCACCTTGACATAGCGTTAAATCAAGTAATTTACTCCAGAGCCTTCCAGTCTGCTTGAGCCCGTACAGTGACTTCTTCAACAGGAGGACCGGGTCACTTGATGTTCGCACGCCGTGCGACTTAAGCTCTTGGTCACTCAAAACCATGCACTTGGGCACCTTCATAAAGATGTCAAGGTGCTCCTCCTTTTCAGCCTTAACGTAGGCATTGGGCACGTCACCATGTCGGGCATGCACGTTCCAACGCCTGGAGAGCACCAAAAATAACTTTACCGTTCCCAACCCATGACGGCAGCAATCGTGAGGGTATAATCGACACCAAACACTTGCGCGTTCCCACAGACCACAAGACGAGCCTTGTACCTTTCCACGTCCCCGTTTGCATCAGTCTTGGTCTTATAACCCACTTGTTGTGCAAGATTTGTGCACCTTTTGGTGGTAGTACAACCGTCCACACGCTATTTGACTTTTAGAGCATCCAATTCTATAGTCATAGCCGTGGTCCATTTCTGGCGATCACCACTTCGGATGGCTTCACCATAATGCTTTGAATCTTGAGTGATGACTGCATTCACGACATCCTGTCGTTCAGCAGGGCCTTCACCAACAACTTCCTTAGCACGTCTGCTCGTTGACCTTGTGCCGTGTCTCTCCCTAGTCCGTCCGGACTTACGACCACTTCGGGCTTTCGCCGCCCGTTTCTTGACACTTGAAGGTACTTGAACGGTATCTCCTCCTGATGTTCAATCCTTTCGGTGAACGAGTCGTCTAACCGTTACGCCCATACGACAGTGTTTCGATGTTGCGTATGTGCTGCGTTACCACGACCACCTTGTCCTTGGGGATGTACACTCTTTACCCCTTCGTCTCATCACTCTTTTCAATGATGATGGTCGGCTTCCCTCGCTCTCCAAGTGATTTGTTCCTTGCATCCACGTGCACGGTGCACGTGGAGCCGAACACCACAATGTCGTTCAGGTTTGGCACCTTCGTGGTCAGTAATACCATCGGAAACACCCCACCTGGATTCGACTTGGTCCTGCTTCTTTTGAGTATGTATGTTGCATACTCAGCAGCGTCGAACCAAAAATGAAAAGGCAGGTTTGAAGCAAATACCATGCTTCGGACCATGTTCATAATTTTCCGATGCATCCGTTCAACCTTGTCGTTACTTGCCTGATTTTTGGCTTCACTGACTGGACGCGAGACTCCAGTCGCCTTACAAAACACGTCCAAGGTATTGTATTCACCACCTCCATCCGTGCGTAGTACGTGGATCTTGCAATTGAACTCTCGTTCAAAGCTCACCAGGAAGTGCTTGAACTTGAGGGCAGCAGCATCCTTGGATCTGACCAAGAACACACGGCAATAATATAACCTGTGGTCAATGAAATTAACCAGGTAACGGTTACCCAGACGATCCCTTGGAGTCATCGGGCCCTTGAGGTCGGAGCAAATTTTCCACTGATCACATCGATGGGAGAATTTTGGCCTGAGTCTTTCCTTGACTGTGATGCCTTAATTTGCTTTCCTTGTGCACAGGCCAACCAATGCATGCGCCTCGTGTCAGTCAGACTGATACCAGATGCCGGGTCTTTGGCCATCTTGATGATCGTGTCGTAAAACAAGAGACCCAAGCGACGACAGAACTGCATCAAGGTACCACTCTGAACATCCGAATCGGATTAATTTTCAGGTGAATTTATCGCAGCCTTCATCTCCCTTGGTGGTAAATGTGAGGTCTTGTTGAATGGTCCTGTCACTGCAACAACTAGCACATTGTTATTGCACTCCACATCCATAACCGGCGCACCTCCAAACCCAGAGGTTAACACACGTCTCCCCCTCGGTACTCAAGTACACATCCCTTAGCCTCGAGCTTACCATACGAGATAATGTTTCGCTCGAGGTTTGCGGCGTACTGTACATCGAGGAGTCGGATGATTTTCACAACTCCGAGTGCAACAACTTCAATGTTGGCAATCCCTTGCTTGGTGATCCGGAGCACACCTCCATCCGTTGCTGCTATCAAGCATTCGTTTCGACAGTCGTTCGGGTTGACGAGCAGAGAAAAGTCGTTGACAAGGTGTCTGCTCGACCCACTGTCGAGGATCCAGTGATTGTCTTGGAGACGATCACCATTGTCGATCGCAAATGTGAAACTTGGTCTTGGGACCTTGGAAATCTGTCTCTTGGGGCACATCGACTTGATATGTCCCACCTCGCCGCACCTGTAGCACTTCCGTTGGTCGTTGTCATTCGATTCCTTCAGCACCTTGTGCTTGACCTTGTCTCTTGGCTTCTTCCTTGGTTCAACAGCATTGACCACGTCACGTCCGAGATGCTTCGCGTGGTTGTCAATCTCCGTTGACTGGGTGAACAGTGCCAATTCCTCGGCTTGGCGCAAGCAGTCGGTGCGACGAATGTCCAGCCTGGACATCATGGTCATTCGCATATGCGGGTACACGTAATGGACGATGTTATCCAACACCAGGGTATCGGCCCCTCCGCAAGCATCACTGTCTGCCGTCAGGTACAGGAAACGGTCCGTCCAACTTCTGTGAGGTTCCTTGGGCGCCGTAAACAATTTAATGCTTTGGGCAGGCGTGATTTTGATGCTGAAGGTCTGAAGCAGCCATTGCATAGCATGCTCCAAGGTTTGACTTTCACACCACCAAGTCTCCACTTGACGACGATAGTACGTCTGTGCCTTACCGAGCAGGTGTTGTCCCAAGACATCCACCTTGATGTCTTCCGGCCACGTGAATCCACACGCACGCGCGGCAAATCCAACTTGACGCACAAATTCCTTGCCCCATCCGAGGAAACTATACCAAGTCCATGATATAGTTCCTTCCCATCAAAAGGTTGTTGTTCAAGCTTCTGATGCTGCGCGATTGGCATCCCCACAACCTGTTGTCCCGGGTTGGCATGCATCACGTTCGGCATACCCGCGTCGGGGTAATAGCCTGGCACCCCTGCCATAAAATGTGCAGGTTCCAGTGCTTGTCCTATGTTGCGGTCTGCTGCAACATGGCCTGCTCGATGATTTGCATCAGTGTCGCCTGGCTCCAAAGTACGTAGCCGGCGACACGTCGTTCGGTGACCTCTTCCGGGGAGGGGCAAGTTCCAAATCCTGGATGTTCATTCCTCCACCCGCTCATAGAGCCGAACCAAAGACGCTTGACTCCGCAAAGTCCTTCCGGTGTCCACCGGCATGCTCCTT